AGATATATATATATTTATATTATCCAGCAGGAGGAAGAAGAAGAAGAGGGGGAGGGGAGAGGGAGGAAGAAGAGGGAGAAGAGGAAGGAGAGGAGGGGGAAGAGAAGGAGAAAGGGAAACTATAATAAAATAAACAGAAATAGTAATAACCTAAACCCTAATAACCCTAAACCCTAAACCCTAAACCCTAATTACCTTCTAACACCTGCAGTAAGACCACAAGCAGATGCTCCTTTCCCTGTTGTAAGAATACTACGAGGGAATGTACGAGCTACATACTGTAGGGCTTGCGATTTACCTAGACCTGGATCACCTGCACAGGAGGAGACACAAGGAGACATAAGGAGATTATTAGAGGAGACAGAGGAGACAAAGGAGACAAAGGAGACAGGAGACAGGAGACAGAGGAGACAGTAGACAGGGAGAAAAGGAAAGAAAATAAATATATATCTTTACCTAATAATAATACATTAATATCTCCCCTAATAACATGTTGCCCTGCAGTAGCACGGGAGTCGTCATCAGCCGATCCCGATCCCGATCCCGATCCCATTGTTTGTGTATTTTGTCCCCTTTGTTGTTGTAGATGTTGTTGTGCCTGTTGCTGCATCTGCTGCATCTGCTGCTGCTGTTGCTGCTGCTGCTGCTGCTGCTGCTGCTGCTGGTTATGCCCCTGCTGTCTCCCCTTAGGTACACCACCAAATAATGCATAAGCTATTGCTGTTTTTATATGCTTAGATGCACAAAGGGAGGGACAAATAGAGGAAATAATTCTTTCTCTTATATTGGGGTGTCTAGACAGCTGGTGTATATTATATATATCATTAGATGTAAATAATATATTACTATTATTATTATATTTATTTTTATATTTATTATATATATTATTTACATATATCTCTGTACTTATTATAGGGAATAAACCCTTATTATTCCCTCCTCCTCCTCCTCCTCCTCTTCCTCCTTTTCCTCTATTATTTATATTATTATTATTATTATTATTATTATTATTATTATTATTATTATTATTATTATTAATTATATTTATTTTTTCTTTATATACACCTAATACATCTACCTTATCTCCTGGCTTAATTGTATCAACTAATTCACCAATTAATAATAAATTTAATTGACGAGGGGAACGACCAGCTGGACACTCATTAGGCGACTCCTATAACATAAATAAATAAATATATTTATTTATTTATTTATTTATTTATTTATTTATTTATTTATTTAGGTAGCTAGGTAGGGAGGTAGGTAGGTAGTTTATTCAGAGGAGAAGGAGATATATTATAACATATACTTATAATATATATAAATATATAATTATACATAACATACATATATATGTATATGTATATGTATATGTATATGTATATGTATATGTATATGTATATGTATATGTATATGTATATATGCATATGTCTACGTATATATTTATATATGTATATATTTATATATAAAAAAGAGAGACAATTAAGAATAGATAAGAAGAATAGGAGACAATTAAGAGACAGAAGGAGTATAATAACAGCAACAACAGCAACAAGTGCAGCAGCAGCAGCAGCAGCAGCAGCAGGAGCAGCAGTGTACCTGTAGAGTAAGTCTTTGTACATCTGTATAAGTAGTTCTTAATCTATCTACAGAGAATCGCGATCCTTGACAATTAGGACATCTGCATATACACCCTAAACCCTAAACCCTAAACCCTAAACCCTAAACCCTAAATTTAGAGATCTCACATATCCATTCCCTCTCTCTCTCTCTCTCTCTCTCTCTCTCTCTCTCTCTGTCTCTTTCCTTCGTCAATTGTTTATCTGTCCCTGACTCCTTCTGATTCCCTTTCCTCTATACGTATATATATATGATTGTATGATTTAGGGTTAAATTAGGGTTTAGGGTTTAGGGTTTAGGGTTTAGGGTTTAGGGTGTATATAGATACCTTTTAGGTAGATGTATTTTTTGTCCATCAAGAAGTTGTATAGGAACATCAGAGACACTTTGTAAACAAAGAGAACATTTTAAATAAATTAATCGCATGCGTGGCAACACAGAAGAACGACGTGTTATAACCCCACTGCAGCAGCAGCAGCAGCAGCAGCAGCAGCAGCAGCAGCAGCAACAGCAGCAGCAAGAAACGGGAGCACAAGAAGAAGGATATATATATACATGAATAGATAGATATGCTGTTGCTATTGCTACTGCACCTCTTCCTGCTGCCCGTTGCTGTTGCTGTTGCTGCTATTGCTACTGCTCTTCTTGCTGTTGCTGTTGTTGCTGCTGTTGCTGCTGTTGCTGCTGCTGCTGCTGCTTACCTAACAGAGACAAGAGTATTAAGATCTGTAGCCCTAAGATTTCTTAATAAAGATTTATATGGCCAATTATATAATAAACAAAAACATAAACGTTTATTATATAAGGAAGGACATAATGATGCTGCTTCTCCTGTTATTGCATCATGTAATACCTGTATATATATATATATATATATATA